AGAAGAATGGCATTTACGCTAATATTAGTCTGTTTCTTTCTTATTCTGAGGTCATCGTAGCCACCAGATCCAGTCTGTATCCAGATCAGATGGTCACTGCAGTCACCCGGATCCAGTACATATTCAGACCAGATGGTGGATCAGCACCTAGAGAGGACCTCTACAGCCCTGAATGTCAGCGGAGTTCAGGACAACTAGATGAGCCCCAGAGACAGATCCCCAGTGAAGACCTTGTCTCCTAGATGGCCACCGGGACAAGACCACAGGAAACAGTTGAGTCCTCTGCACAATCTGACTTTGCTGCGGCATGGATCAACCTGCTGGTTTCGTCTGATCAGAGGAGAACTGGCCTCTCGACTGAGCCTGGTTTCTCCCAAGGTTTTTTCTCCATTCTGTCACCGATGGGAGTTTTGGTTCCTCTGGCTTGCTTAGTTGGGGACACTTAATATCCAGCAATCTCGTCGACTTGATTTACTATTTAAACTGAACTGAGCTGGATGATGAAATCACTGAATTCAACGATGAACTGCCTTTAACTGAAAATTGAGTGTTTACTATTATCCTTTTGCATTATTGACACACTATTTTCCTATTTGATACTGTAAAGCTGCTTTGAGACAATCTGTATTATTAAAAGCGCTATATAAATAAAGGTGACTTCACTTGACTTGATCATAGTTTAACCGTTATTTATATAGTATTTGTAGTAAAAATAGGCTACATAGTAAAAAACATGGTTACTACACATTTACTATAATAAAAATCATGGTTATTTTCTTAAGGGGTTTGTATTTGTGTATTCTTTCTTTCTTTTTTTTCTTTTCTTTTTTGCAACTGTATTGCCTTAATGGTTTGATGTTTTGTACTGTTTAATAAAAAAAGAAATCAAAAAGATTCGCGAACCCACTCCATAGTCCCTATCTTTATCAAATGCTTCGCGATTCGCGATCCGATTGGAGCGCTTCGAAACAGTGAATCATTTTGTGATGCAATGTTTTAACTGATTCGGAGTTTGGAAAAGCTCCGTTTCACCAATCACTATATGTGCTTTTTAAAATCATTACAAGTGATTTCGAAATTGGAAAATGAATGGAGCAGAGGTTCACCTCCACTCCATCAAAAAAGTTATGGGACACTATTAAAGCGATGACAAATATGAACACTAGACATAAGCACCTCTGTACAAATAATGATTTAGAGAAGGCAAATGAATTAAATGAGTTCTATCTCAGATTTGATACACAGGATTATACTCAGGAAGGCATGCACTTTCCGGAGACTTTTGTAAGCGAGGATACTTCAGAGTGAAAACTGACCCTCAGAAGGTTTGTTTATTTTTTAATCAAATTAATACTAGAAAGTCCACAGGACCTGATGGTATTTCGGCTGCTCTTTTAAAATCATGTGCAGAGGAGCTTACCACTGCATGGTGCTGTTTTTCAACGATCTGTGGATTGTCATACTGTCCCTGATATTTACAACTACCAAAGATATCTTGTCCAGTGGACAGTATAGGCCAATAGCCTTGACATCATGTGTTATGAAGTGTTTTGAGAGTTATATTATGTCCTCGCTAAAGACAGAGGTAAAACCTGTTTTAGATCCACTCCAGTTCACCTACAGACAAGGCCGCGGTACAGTGGACGCTATTAATAACATAACTTATGCTATTGTGAAACATCTTGAGAGTCCAAAGGCCTATGCACGGTTGTTATTCGTTGATTTTAGTTTGGCTTTTGATACAATTAAACCCCATTGTTTGATAAAAAAATTGGGGCAGTTGGGTGTAAATCCATTTTTACTCAAATGGTATCATTCGTTTTTAACTAATCGAAGGCAGCAGGTCAAGGTTAACCACAGTATATCAGAGGTTAGAAGGACAAGTACAGGAGTTCCACAAGGCTGTGTCAGCGCCCCAATTCTTTTTACATTGTATTCAAATTAATGCACAAGTCATGATCCCAGTAACCTCATAATAAAATACTCAGATGATACAGCTCTGCTAAGCCTCTTGTATAATGATACTAATCCATCAGTATATTATTCAGAGGTAGACAGATTTGTGAAGTGGTGTGACCTAAATCATCTTATTATAAATATCAAAAAAACTGAGTATATGGTCTTTGACCCAAAGTCAACTGGTAACCACTCACCCATATATTTATTCACGAGGAACCCTTTAAACAAGTGTGCTCGTATAAATACCTGTGCGTTTATATGGATAATTTACTCACCTGGGGACCCCATGTAGATAGTATTTGTTCTTGTGCACAGCAGAGATTATACTTTATACGAAGGCTGAGAGTTTATGGGGTCCAGCAGAAAGTAATGTATTTATTTTACCAGGCTGTAATTGGAAGTGTACTACATTATGGTTATACTGTGTGATTTGGAAACATTACAGTTAAATCTAAAGCCAAACTGGCACGTCTGGTAAAGACGGCTATGGGAATTATAGGGAAAAGAGAATATCAAACATTGAAATCATCTTATGAGCAGTCTGTTCTTAAGGAAGTCACTAAGAAACTATCTGACTCCTCACATAGCTTATAGTCTGAGTATGAGTTGCTGCCTTCTGGTAGACGATACAGGCTGCCTGTGTGCAGATACAACCGTTTTAAGAAATCTTTTGTACCTACGTCAATCAGACTTTTAAACATGTAATTTATTTATGTTACTCCTTGTTGGTTATGGGTGTTATTGTGGCTTGGAATGTGTTGTGCTTATGTGGATTTTTTATTATGCAATGTAATGTTGATCAGTGTATGTGTATGCGGGCTCCAGGGTCCAAGACAAATTTCCCCATTGGGGACAATAAAGTGTATTGAATTGAATTTATGACATTAACTGAAATAAGCGAAAAAAGCGTGATGTTTACAAATAAAATATCCATATTTCCATTCCAAAGATAACATCCAACATAAATCTATGAACATATTCAGGTGAGGTAACTGACATGTCCCTGCCAAATTCTACACCTTTGATTTTTGTAATGAAAAAGCATGTCTAATTAAAAAATTAATTTAATAATTTATGAAATGTTTAACAAAAATGACATTTTTAGGGCCATATGAAATCAGTTTTATTTTTTCCCCAAATTCAGAATTTTCAATTCATTTTAATTACATTTTAATAATTTAAAACAAATAATGATTAATTGATAAGACGATTAATGAATAATTCATAAAACAACAATTTATTAAATTTTTTATGATAATAGTGTCATATGAAATGTTTTATTTTTTCAGAAATTCTGAAATATTAGTTGAGTGACTCTCTGGAGATGAAGTTCATGTGCTCATGAAATAAAAACTGGCCAGAGGTCAGGTTGAAAGGTCAGAGGTCAGAGGTTGTGACTGACCTGTCCTGGTGGGAGGCCATTTGCTGGAGCTCATGAGTCGCCTCATGGTCTCGTATCTGCTGTCGCAGGTGTGTTTACTGAAGCAGTACCAGCCACCTGAACAACACAAACACACACCGTCAGATCACACACACAAACTCACATTCACGCTCACTCTCACTCACACACACTCTCTCTCACACACACACAC